AGCACCTCTGCGGCCGCAGAAACTGTCAAAACCGCCGCCGCCCCCACCGCCCCCGTCGTTGAACCGAAACAAGCTGGTTCCGACTGCATGGAGGTTTGTTGTCGGGACATTGAGGCGGGTAAAGCTGTACAGCTAACTATCGGAAAAAAGGAGACCGCTAGTAGATTATTTGAGCAAAGAGAAGGTACTTCAACGCAGAATGGTACAAAAACAGAGAGTGGTTAATTATTTGCAAACCCACTAAACGATAGTGATAAATTGCGATGTTAACAACCTCATGATAACCTCATATGTTTTTAACTTAGGATCATACCTGTGTTTAGTCTAGAAAAAGGTAAATGTGTGCATTTTATTATAAAGTTGGGTATATTTACAGACTGTTGCAAAAACTAAGAAGCTTATAAACATCAGGTTTAAAACTAAAAGAGCTTTACAAAAAAGTAACACTATTAAAGATGTTTGGAGTTTTATTTGAGTTATTAATTTACATTTTTTGTCAAAGAGATGCTGATTTGAAACCGTTGTTACATACAGTTACGGCATTTCCTGTTTCTGCCGGAGAGAGGGGAGTGTGTAGGTGTAGGGCGTGGTTTGGGATTGGGCCATACACACGCACTTTTTTTGCCCCCCCCACTTCTAAAATGAATCCGGCGCGCCTGGATGGCACATGAAGGTAGACCAGCCAGGAGGGAGTTGCAGTAGTCTAGGCGTGAGGTGACGAGAGCCTGGACCAGAACCTGCGTGGCTTTCTGGGTCAGCTGGGGACGTATCTTCCTGATGTTGTAAAGCGTGTATCTGCAGCAACGGGTTGTAGCAGCGATGTTTGCAGTGAAGGACAGGTTGTTATCTAGGATCACACCCAGATTCCTTGCAGTCTGAGTCGGGGAAACAACAGAGGTGCCGATGTTGATTGTCAGGTCAAGAGTGGGACAATCTTTTCCCGGAAGAAAAAGCAGTTCAGTCTTGTCAAGGTTGAGCTTGAGGTGATGAGCAGACATCCAATGAGAGATGTCAGCTAGACAAGCAGAGATGCGTGCGACGACCTGGGTCTCTGAGCGGGGAAAGGACAGAATTAAATGGGTGTCGTCAGCGTAGCAGTGGTATGAAAAACCATGCGGGCTAATGACTGATCCGAGCGAGTTTTTGTACAGGGAGAAGAGGAGGGGACCAAGAACAGAGCCCTGATGGACCCCTGTAGTTAATTGACAAGGGTCGGACTCGGACCCTTTCCAAGTTACCCTGTAGGTACGGTCTTTGAGGTATGAGGTGAAGAGGGAAAGTGCAGAGCCTGAAACTCCAAGTTCTTGGAGAGTGTGAAGGAGGATCTGATGGTTCACCGTGTTGAATGCAGCAGACAGGTCCAACAGGATGATGACAGAGGAGAGGGATGCTGCTTTGGCAGTGTGCAGTTCCTCAGTGACAGCAATGAGAGCAGTTTCTGTGGAGTGACCTGCCTTGAAACCAGACTGGGGCGGATCCAGAAGGTTGTTCTGATGGAGATAACAGGAGAGTTGTTTAAAGACAGCGCGTTCAAGTGTTTTAGACAGAAACGGGAGTAGAGAGACAGGCCTGTAGTTTATAACATCAGACGGGTTGAGAGTGGGTTTCTTTAGGAGAGGGTTTACTCTAGCCTCCTTGAGACTGTTTGGAAAGTGACCAGAAGTTAGAGAAGTGTTGATGAAATGGGAGAGAAACGGTAGAATATCTGGAGCGATAGTCTGAAGGAGGTTTGAAGGGATAGGGTCCAGAGGACAGGTGGTAGGGCGGGCAGAGGTAATGAGGGTAAGAACCTCACTTGGAGAGAGAGGGGAAAAGGAGGTTAGTGTGTTGGTGGAAGGAGGGTCTGGTGAGTAAAGGTGAGTCAGAAAAAGAAGAGCGAATATCATCAACCTTTTTTTCAAAGTGGTTAACAAAGTCGCTTGACAGAAGTGAGGAGGGGGTAGGGGCTTTGTGAGGGTCCAAGAGGGTGGAGAAGATGGAAAATAGTTTTTTGGGATTGGAATAGGAAGATTGGATCTTATCTTGAAAGAAAGTGCTTTTTGCCTGAGAGATCGAAGCAGAGAAAGAGGAGAGGAGAGCCTGATAGGTTAGGAGGTCATCATGGTGTTTGGATTTCCACCGTTTCCGCTCTGCTGCCCTAAGGACGGTTCTATTAGCATGCAGTGCGTCATTTAGCCAGGGAGCAGGAGGGGACTGACGAGCCTGCCGAGATGTGAGAGGACATAGAGAGTCCAGAGAGGATGAGAGAGTAGAGAGGAGAGTTTCTGCAGCAGAGTTTGGAGGCAGGAGTTGGAACGAGTCAGAGGAAGGGAGGGCTGAGAGCACCGATGAGGCAAAGGTAGAGGGGGAGAGGGAACGAAGGTTACGGAGGACAGGTGCAGGATGAGAAGAGATTAGTTTGTTATGTTTGGAAAGGGGTAGAGAGAATGAAATGAAGAAGTGATCGGATGTGTGGAGCGGGTTTACACAGAGGTTAGAAGTAGTGCAGTTCCTTGAGAATATGAGATCAAGGACATTGCCAACTTTATGAGTTGGTGGGGACGGAGACAGCGAGAAAGCAAAGGCGGTTAACAGAGATGTTAGTTCGTCTATCTTCCCTGTCTGGAGGTTGAAGTCTCCGAGAAGTACAGCGGGAGGGCCAGTTTCAGGGATGTGTGAGAGGAGATTATCTAATTCCTCCAAGAAGTCCCCCAAGGCGCCTGGTGGACGGTAGAGAACAACAATGGTTAATTGTATAGGATGGGTTACTGTGACGGCATGGAATTCAAAGGTGGAAGGAGTGAAGTTAGGTAGCTTGAAGAGGGAAAAGCTCCATTTGGGAGAGAGCAGGAGACCAGTGCCACCTCCTCTGCCAGTGGGTCTGGGTGTATGGGAGAAGGAATATGCTGTGGAGAGAGCTGCTGGGGTGGATGTGTTGAATGGAGTAATCCAGGTCTCAGTGAGAGCAAGGAAATCCAGGGTCTGCAGGGAGGCATAGCCAGAGATGAAGTCAGCCTTAGGAACAGCTGACTGGCAGTTCCACAGGCCACCTGAAACTAGATGTTGGATCTCAGTGGAGCATGTGGGATAGACGAGAGCAGGCCGGTTATAGCGATTAGGAGATACACAGGGCCAGTGATAATTGCGAGAAGACACATGAACAGGAATGGAGAAAATACACATGATTATAGCATGAGGGGCTAGAAAACTAAAGAAAATAAAATAAGACACCAGCGGTAATTAGCTCAATCAGAGTAGGAGTTGCCTCCTCTTTGCCACCCTCGTGACTCCCGCAGGACTCCAATGTCTTTGTCAGTCTTACTCCCACGGGACTCCAATGTCTTCGGCTGTCTGACGCTGAAGCTGACGCTCCAGGAAATAGCTACCTAAAATGGACGCCTGATTGCTGAGTTCTCACAGCTGTGGGGCCACGCCCCTCTAATTAGTTACCTCTCTATAGCTGATGGGCGACAGCAGAGTGGCCCTGCCTATATTGTAATGCAGGGTTGAGTGCCCCTGCTGAGACCTGTGTAACAGGTTCACTTGAGCAGATCTGAGATTTAAAATCTCTCAAAAGTGCCGTTTTAGCTACAATAACTACAGAACAATTATACAGAGTAGAATAAATGAAACCGAGAAGTCTAATTAAACAAGAATATAACTTACAGTGTGTGTGTGTAGTGTCGTCACCCGGTCTAGATGCACACTGTATGTGAAGGGGAGGGATTGGCTAAAGCTCAGCTGTTTTACCAAAAGATCCAAGTCTCCTCCCTGGACTGTTCAGTTGGTACTCTAAAGCTGTGCTCACACAGAGTGCACATCACATGTAATTATGACAGTAAAGTCACATGTGTCTACTAACTGTAATGCCACAAAGAAACAAAGTACTGCAGAAATCAAATACAAACTCATCACTTATGTTTGAAAGTTGCAATATATTTCAGTATTGTGCTGTTCTCAAAATTGCATAATGATATAATGCACACTACACACTCAATTAGCATATACTGCAAATTGCCTACTTTATAACTTAGTCTGAATTCACCTGCACGGTAAAGATATCAAAATAGCAACAGGTATCTCATGACTGATGGTCTCAACCCGCCAGAATCTCAAAAATGTTGCAAGATATTTCCAAACATGTGCTATTTTTTATAAACTGGCTACATCTTGGGAATCTAAATTATATCTTCCTCGCCTGAACATCTATTTATACATATAAATTAACGTTAACAGCTTGCCCTTATCTTCTTTATAATATCTTGCATTTAGTGATGTATACTTTTTTGTATCTTCACCAAGGAACAACATCCAGTCTGAAAATTGAATTCAAAGCGAAACGGCACCAGAGTAAAATAAAGTAGAATACTCTTTATGGTGCGCCTTTGAGATTGTAAAGTCTGTTTTTGAAATAAATGATAAAACGATTGATCAACTGGAGCGAATTTCTTTGTACGCGTTCAGAATGTTTCTTCCTGTCTTAAGAATCTCTTTAGTCACTTCTTATGCAGACGACAATAATTCCAAGCTTGATGCGTAACATCAGTGAACTGACTTTTTATATACAGTCCTTATTGATTACTCTATTCTACATATTGTGTTTATGTAATGTAATGGAAATGTTTGAATTGTATGGCGTCTGGTGTGCAATCTTGTGTTTTTCCAAATAAAGAGGAAGACATTTGTTTACCACAGATGATGTCACTGATGATAAACCTCCCACACATGCTACTTCAGCAGAATAGTAATAATTTATTGAATAACCCTTATTACACCCATCATGACATTATGCAACATACAGTGCAGGAAATGAGTATTTGACCCTTAACAGATGTTGTAAGTTTGCCCACTTAAAAATTAATTAGCAGTCTATAATTGTAATGGTAGGTTTATTTTAACAGTGAGAGTAAGAATATCAAAAAGAAAATCCAGAAATGTACATTAAATACAAGATAAACATTTATTTGCATTTAACTGTGGGAAATAAATATTTGATCCCCTTGCAAAACATGTGTTAGTACTTGATGGATAAACCCTTCTTGGACAGTACAGAGGTCAGACGCTTCTTGTAGTTGGTGACCAGGTTTGTGCACATCTCAGGAAGTATTTTGGTCCTCTCCTCTCTGAAGATCCTCTCCAAATCCTGAAGGTTTTGAGGCTGATGCTTGGCGTCTCGAAGCTTGAGCTCCCTCCACAGATTTTCTATGGGATTAAAGTCTGGAGACTGGCTAGGCTACTCCATTACCTACATTTGCTTTTTCTTTAGCCACTCCTGTGTTGCCTTGGCCGTATGTTAAGGGTCATTGTCCTGATGGAAGACCCATCCATGACCCATTTTCAGTGTCCTGGCTGAGGGAAGGAGGTTATCAACCAAGATTTTACGGTACATGGTACATGGTACATCCTCTCCTTGATGCAGGGAAGTTGTCCTGTGCCCTTAGCAGAGAAACCCCTCCAAAGCATAATGTTTCCACCTCCATGCTTGACGGTGGGGATGGTGTTCTTGGGGCTATAGTCAGCATTTATCTTCCTCCAAACACGGCATGTCGAGTTAATAGAAGATAAAAATAAACATAAGATTGAAATATGGACATAATCATTACAAATATACTACCAGGCAGCTTTTGACTTGACACTAAAGACTACATGGAAACATACCATTACATATATGGTCATTGTTGAATGTATTCAATGTTCTCTTCACTATCAATAATCTGTACTGGAAATGGAGACTTGTAGGAGAAAACAGAAATTGACCAAGTTGACCAATAAGAGTTATCCACGGGGTATTTCTGCATAGCCATAGCCACAATGTGTATTACATTTTAGATGATAAAATTATCTAAGGTATGACAGAACTATAAATCCATCTCAACTTTTGATACATTTGTAGGGCAGTAGAGCAGAAGTAAGGAGGGGGTGGTGAGACATTTTTGTTGTGGGAGGATGGGCCTGATGTTTTTTTTTTTTTTTTCTCTGTAGCTCAACTAAGCTACATTGACTTTTTTTGTATTTTTGCCATTATTAGCAAATACATAGGTAACAAGAGCTTCTATTTAAACGGGCCATTGACCACAACTGTACAAATCAATTTCAACGGTTTGAGAACAGTGAATATAGTTCAATTAATAACCAAAATACAAATATAGATCAATAACAGTAAATGTTTTAAAAATAATTTGCTGGTCTTGAGAAACAAAAGGCTTTGCCATTCCTAAACCTCGTTTCGCGTACTTTTTGTAGACACATTGCTTCTGCTGTGTAGACTGACAGAAACATGCCTCTTCAACCCAGGAAAACGTCTCACCAGCAGCTGTTTGAAATGGTTCTGAAACTTTTTCCCAACAAATGTGTAAAAGATAGGACTGATGCAAAAGTAAAAGTAGGCAATAGTACGTGTGATTTCAAGATAACTATATATGATATCCGCGGTCTCACCGTCGGCGTCGGCTTGATCATACATCAACCATACAATGTTGTATGGAGTCCAGCAAGAAAAGAAAAACAGGACAATGAAAAATATCAACCTGACAGTTTTGAACTTGGTAATTATCTTGGTCGAAATGACGGAGATAGCAATCCTAACGTAGCAATAGATAATAACAGACAGAGGAAAGATCAAGAAAAGCAAAAGCTGGATGTAAAATCCAGATGTTCTCAACATCTCCATATTAAGAGAATCTACATCCAAAGGGAACTGCTGACAGAGAGTTGTGTTCATATATTTGAAAGTTTTGTAGAGAATCATCGGCCTGATGCACGCCAAGCTGCTGATCACCCAAATTGCAGCACATGAGATGACGGCATATCTTTGATTCCTCACTCGTGCCGCGTTCAGGGAATACACAACTGCAAGGTGTCGGTCAAAGGTCAAAAGAGTAAGAAAGAGGACTGAACTGTAGAAGCCCAGATAGTAGACGCTACCAACAATCCTGCACATGACATCCCCGAAGATCCATTTGGAGAGCTGGTTGTAGAGTGCCTCGAAGGGAAGGCTGCTCATGAAGATCAGGGAGGACACCACCATGTTCAGAAGCAAGATGTTGGTCACTGTGGTCAGCTTCTCAAACCTAGCAGATAGTCATTTCAACAGATGGAGAGAAAAAACATTTTTTATTGGTCAAACAAGCATTGTTGACACTGATGGTCCACACTGACATTGATGATATTTGTATGCCACAGTTACAAAAAACCAACACACTGCTCACTCAATCTTCATTTGGGCGAAATTAGCTTTTGCAGGGTAAGATCTAACTTGAAGGGTATTATAAGTGTGGATTATCATTACATAACTGACTCATGTTTCCCGATAGAACATTGTAAACACTGTAAATTTAAGATCTGAAATGGAAGCCAGGCTTCAGTGGATTTTGACCAAAGAATAACAATGGTGTTGATGGAAGATAATGTTAATCTTGCCTATACTTGAAAATATTTGAGAGTTCACCGTGTCAGCATGCATCTGACTTAGCCCTCTTTAACTCTTGATGGTATTATGCATGATAGACACATATTTCAATGTTTCCATGACCATCAGAAATATTTGTTTCTTTTAAAATGTCTCTTTAAATTCTGGATGATAAAGTTGACAGAATTTATGATTCTGTATACTGTTTGCATTTTATTTTACATGGTATTTTCTTCAATCCTTTTTAATAACAAGTGAGGGTAGTCAAAATATATTTCTGAAATAGAGCCTTTACAAAAAAAAAGTATATAGAATGCAATACAAAATGAATTAAAAATGCAAAATATATAAACAAAAAAAGCCCAATGCAGCACGAACAAAAATTCAAGATGCAGGCAAAGTATTGTTTTTAAGTTAATTAAATACAGTTTAAATTTCATTTAGTTCTTAAGATTTTCATGAAACCAAATACCACTTTTTGTAGAGTCTGCATTTTTTTCACAATTAACTATTCATTGTATTTACATGCTGCCTCCAAATACAATATTAACAGAAAACAATGCAGCATTTAATCCAATGTTAATATCATAAATTGTGTCTGTATGCTTATTTTTTAAGAAGGTAAATCACTCAATTAATTAAACTATTAAACAACGTCTAACTGCTTAAAAAAACACTCACTGATAGATGATGACCAGGACCAGCCCATTTCCAAAGAGACTGAAAAGGAACATAAAGTAGTACAGGATAGAGAGCTGAGACCCCAGAGAGTCGATAGTGCTGATGGGTTCTGGGTACGTTAAGGAACCGTAATCATAATCATAGGTTGTAGTTTCCATTTGTGTCTCAGGTGTTGATGTGAACATCTGCAAGAAACACAAATGCAGCCTTAAACATAATATTCACAGATGGTAGAGTTAGCAAGGCTTTTAAATGATAAAATAATAACTTCTTTAGAAATGCTTTGAGGTATACAAGGGAATTAAATGCTGCTAGTGAGCTTCAACAAGGCATGCAAATAAGAAGTGCTAGAAAACATTGCCTTCAAATAATTACCTACAAAGAGAAGTAGGAAATTAAAGCAGATCTTTGTGAGAATGAATGTCATGCTTAATTAAGCTGACTTACCGTGTTTTGCTTGTTGTCTGACTCCCAAGGGCAGAGCTGTCTGACTCACAGTGAGTTCAAGTCACTTCATAATAAGTCAGCCAGTTAGGGGAAGGAAGTACCAAATAAGTGTGTGTCAGTGTATGTGAAGCGGAGGGATTGGCTAAAGCACAGCTGTTTTACCAAAAGATCCAAGTCTCCTCCCTGGACTGTTCAGTTGGTACTCTACAGCTGTGCTCACACAGAGTGCACATCACATGTTATTATGACAGTAAAGTCACATGTGTCTACTAACTGTAATGCCACAAAGAAACAAAGTACTGCAGAAATCAAATACAAACTCATCACTTATGTTTGAAAGTTGCAATATATTTCAGTATTGTGCTGTTCTCAAAATTGCATAATGATATACTGCACACTACACACTCAATTAGCATATACTGCAAATTGCCTACTTTATAACTTAGTCTGAATTCACCTGCACAGTAAAGATATCAAAATAACAACAGGTATCTCATGACTGATGGTCTCAACCCGCCAGAATCTCAAAAATGTTACAAACTCATCACGTATGTTTAAAAGTTGCAATATCTTTCAGTATTGTGCTGTTCTCAACATTGCATAATGATGTACTGCACACTACATGCTACTGCAAATTGCCTACGTTATACAGTATACAACTGTGAGGTTCCCAGAATGTTCTTCTGAAAGGTAGGATAACGTTCTCCAAAAACATTCTTAACATTTTTGGTGATAACCCTCTTAAGATGTTTTTGACAGAGTAATATGAACATTACAGGTTCCTTAAGAACACACTGATATCACGAGCCAGTGGACACATGTGTTTGAGTGTGTATAGCAGGTTCAGTGAGTTCAGATGCATGAACTGAGCCGAAGAGGGATTTGAGTAATAAACGTCGTTCGAAAGGCACGTTAACAGTACTAAATGAGGGAGAAAGCAGATCAATGATCACTCTTTAAACCCTGCTCAGATCTCTGTCAGGGGATTTGGACAAACAGCATTTCTCCTCCATTCCTACAGTACACTGTGCTCAGGGTGAACATTATATTGCAAATGGTGGAATAACTCAAGCAAGCGCATGTTGATACCTCACTGACTACTGAAAATTACGCTTTTCCAACAGGAAAAGGCTGGTATTTGGTATTTTTCACATAGTCAATGTTATCGGTCCTTCTCTCAACACTTTTTGAATTCCCTGCCCTGCCTGCTGCTCTCCAATACAAGATTATTAGTTACTGACAGGCATCTTGAAAAAAAAGCAAAGCAAATGACTCTAGGAAGTCATTTGTGAGGTGTTTTCAAAAATACATTCTTGATAAAATAATACATTTATATTGAGATGGGTCTTATCAGATGTTGACAAGAAACAATAAAATAATGTCAGCCCCATTTATTTACCGAACAGTCATTTCTATTTAACCATGGTCCCATGTTCCCCAGATTTATTTTGCACATCATGGTAACAATTCTACGGAGCCCTGGAGGGTTCATAGAGAGAAAAATAAATAAAACGTGGCCACGTTTTACTTTCTCGTGCACACGCTTTAGTAACTCGTGC